GTCAGAAATTGATACAGAAATATAATCAATCCTAGAACAATGATATTCAACAGTCAAAAATCGATAACCATGGAATATTGAAGAAAAATCGTACCTGAAATAAAGGTTGGAATGGAGGGTTTTGAGCTCGTGGAAATGGAGGCTGGAAGAAGAAAATAAGAAAAATCGTACCTGATAGAAAAGAGGAGAAATCTATAACCATGGAATATTGAGGAGAAATCAATAACCATGGAAGATTGATGATAAATCGTATCTGAGATGGAGACTGGAATAGAGGGTTTCAGCTGGAAGAAGAAAACTCGTGGAATTGGAGGCTGGAAGAGAAAACTCGTGGAAATGGAGGTTGATATAAAAGAGTAGATTTTGTATTGATATGAAACAATAAGGGTAATATTGTAATATTAAATTTAGTCTCATGTTGTTCCACTTTTTTTGGTGGAACAAAAGACCTCAAGAATAATCCTATGAAATCTTATTTTTCTCCTATGTTGTCTCATCTCATTTTTGTCGCATGACACACCAAACATAAGACTATTTATTTTTGTCTCGTCTCATCACTCAGTCTACGTATCAAATGCACCCTGGGTGTTAAAAACTATGCTATCAGTAACTTGTAAATTATCCTTTAGTAGTTGTAGTTAAGAGTTTTTTGAAATGTATGTAACACCCTCAAACACCACATTTGCACATAACACATATTTTATTACATAGAAATACAGTTTACACCACAATGGTCCCACTAGTACAAGAATTCTTATATGTACAAAATCTACATATGAAAAAATTTCAAAATAAAATCTTATACTATCACATGTATACAACATGTATCTTCCAAAATTAAGTAATCTCATGTAGATCTTCAAAAGCAGTTATCAGATTAGGAAAATAATCACATTTTTCCTTTCTCTTTATTATCCCTGGACCCAGCAGTTTCTGCATTGCATATTTTTAAAACAGAAAATGAAGGTTAGACCAGGAGGGTCTGGTGAGTAAATCTCTTCTTTGCAAATGCAGGGTGTTAAACACCAAAATTTAATAAAATATCTTTGCTCAGGAATATTTGCACTTTAACCAAAACAATGCAGCTTTCATTAAAATGAATGACAGGATAAACTCAATAATATCAGTTCTTGATACAAATGCATCTGCTTAAAGATCCAATATTCCAAAATGAAACTAACATTGCGACCAAAGTCTCTTTAATTTATTAGATTAAAAGACCAGATTTTCCTCTGTATGTATTATAAATATTAATGGAAAGATTTAAGGCAATACTTGTCTTTTGAGACAAACCATTTTCCCCTTCTCAATAACATCTAAATTATTATTTCTAATATGAATAATATCTCTAATTCATCAGGTCACAAAGAAATGATGATTCAAAGTTATTAAATCCAATTAGTAATAATAATAAATGTTATAATAATATCCACATATGACAATGCATCCCTTATTCCAAGTACACCTCTCCTTGATATGTCACCCTTGTTCCTCCATCAAAAAAGGGCTACTTATCAGAACAGACAAAAGTCACCACGTCTGAAAGTACCCATTCCCAGTTCCAAGCCAGAATAGACAAAAGTCACCACGTCTGGGGGAACTACCTCTTAAAACAAGTTTCATACCAAAACAGACATATGTCACCACGCTTGGTAGAAACAATTCATAAAATCAAATTCCATACCAAAACAGACTTACGTCACCACGTTTGGTAGGAATGTTTCCCAAAATATAGTTTCTTACCAAAACAGACTTACGTCACCACGCTTGGTAGAAACATATCTTTTTATTTAAAAAGATATAAAATACCCCTTTTTACACTAACATAATTAAACCCACTAATAATTATCAAATTGAAAAAATTTCAAGAATTCTCAACACTTTATAAATTAATATCAAACATAATCATCCGGACAAGTTATCCGGACAAACAATCCGGACAACTGTCCCTTATCCTATTTATCAAATCCGGACAACACAACCCCTTTTGTCCGATTTACAAATCCGGACAATAGAGCCCCTTTTGGTCAATTTACAAATTCGGACAACACTTGGTCAATTTATAATTAATCCGAACGACCCTTGATCGATTTAAGACCAAACCGCACAGCAATTGATCGTATTCCTAATTCTCCGTTCAAAACCATTGTCCGATTACATAATCAAAATCTCACTAACTCTCTAAATCGCATAACACTAGTTTCGATTTAAAGCTAAATCGGACAACTCATGTCCGGTTTAAGACAATCCGGACAACACTATGTCCGGTTTAGAAACAATCCGGTCACCCTTTATCTGGATAAAACCCAAATCGCACAAAACTCTTTTCAAGAATATTATGCAGTTCTTTTAAGATCAATAACCAAAACTTTTAAAAGAGGATGTTAGAAATTACTCACCTTAAAGCAAAATTCAAATTTGAAGATGAAAAAGCCAATTTGAATCCAAACTTGATCTCCGGACACTTTTCTCTCTAATTCCTCCCAAAATTTCAAATGAGGCAAGAAACTTCACTAAGTTCTCAAAACCCCTTATTTATACTTTCCAAAAAAGGAAAGTCGGCTACCCAGCCTTTACCCATATACATGCATACATAAATCAAAAACCTCCATGTATGTATATAAAAATCCATGCACACACATGCACATCAATATCATGCACATATATATATATATATATATACTCACATATTATGCATATATCCCTATGCATAAAATACACATACTCACATATTAAATTCATGTAAGCATGTAATCAATTAATTCACATAATCAAAAATACCTTGGGTAATAAACAGGATCTGGTTATCACATTATCTGGTTATCACAATTTATGCATAAAAATGGTAGTAACTTATGCATTATAGGTTATACTTAAGAGTTTTGATTTTAATGTTTATTAATGTAGCACAGATAAAGTAGCACAGATAATAGAAGGAAAAAATAGTTAAAAAGACCAAAATATTCGTCAAAAGGGGTTACTTAACGATCAAACATAAGCATTATCAGCAAGAGAGACACAAATTATTGAAAAAACATATAAAAAAACCCGTTTCGTCTAAAATTGAGTTTTGAGGTACAATCCGTTAAAAATTACTACAAGGGTACTTACGTAATGCAGCGAAATATATCTCGATTTCAATGTTTCATTTTGTTTTTTTGGTCTCTGTCGATGTTATTATATGAATTTATATGGTTTTGAGCAAACAATAATGTTTTTCTTAATAAAATATAAATTTGATGATAATCATAAAAATTAAAAAAATATATATAAAAGTGCTCATTTTTTTGTGTAATTTCTTTAATCAATTTTTTAGTATAATTTAATTTAGGTTTAATGATAAAGTAATTTATTTTTTGTTTAATAATATAATTTTTATGAAGATAATAACTAAGTATTCTGTTAGAATTCAATAATTATTCTAATTATATTTCAGATTTTATATTTAAAATAAGAATTTTATCTTGTATTTGATTATACTTATCTACGGTTAGTTATACAAACTCAAACATGGAGCTTAATAATTTGTACTTAGTCACAATTTACTTGTAAATTTAAATTTTAAGTAACATGCATCAATAACCAGTACTTCATGTATAAAAGATGTTTTTTAAAAAATTTTATCAAGTAATTTATAATATAGTATAAACTAAAATACAAAAAAAAAATTGCAATTCACACTTAATGTATTATTATTAAAATTTTAATAGAGAATTAAATAAAATGACAAAAAAATCACAACGCTCGAATGAAATTTAACAGAATTAATTGTAGGAAAAAAAATGAAAAAAAATTATTAATTGTAATTTGAAAAGACCAGAGACAAAAAGTACAAAATTAAACAAAACATAGTAAAAATAATTAAACTAGAAGAGTACTTGTATAATATAACGAGATAAATCTATAGTTAGTTATACAAATTTAAAATGAAGCTTTAATAAGTTGTACTTACATAAAATTTCTTGTAATCTTAAATCTATACTATATTATAAAGCACTTGACAAAAACTCTTAAAAATCACTTTTTATGCGTAAAGTACTGTTTATTAATGCATATTACTTAAAACTCAAAATTGCAAATATATTGTGCATAAGTACAACTTATTAAAGCTCCATATTTGAATTCGTGTAACTAACTGGAGATAAACATAATCAAATACAGGATAAACATTTCATTTTAAATATAAAAAAATCTAAAATATAATAAGGATAATTATTGAGTTATAACATAATACATAATTATTATCTTTATAAAATGTTATATTATTAAATCAAAAATATATTATTTCGTTATTAAACTTAATTTAAATTATAATAAAAATAAATAAATTAAAGAAATTACATAAAAATAGGAACTTTTAAATAATTGATTTGATATTGACATTGATATATTTTTTGTTTTTTTCAAATTTTTACAATATCTTCAAATTTATATTTTATTCAAAAATAAAATCATTATTGCTTTCTTAAAAACACATAAAATCGTATAATAAAATCGACAGAGACAAATAAAAAAATAGAACATTAAAATCGAAATTGTCTCGCTGCATTGTGCGAGTACTCTTCCAGTTTTAAGTAATACGCCTCAATAAACACTACTTCATGCATAATAAATGGTTTTTAAGAAAGTTTTATTAAATGGATGCTTGATCGCGTCGTGCGAGCACAAGGCACCGAGCGTGCTTGGCTTGATCCGGCTTGCCTAGGCATGACATGCTTGATAGCGTCGTGCGGGCACAAGGCATCGGGCGTGCTTGGCTTGGCTTGGCCTGGCTTGCCTAGGCATGACATGCTTGATAGCGTCGTGCAGGCACAAGGCACCGGGCGTGCTTGGCTTGGCCCGGCTTGCCTAGGCATGACATGCTTGATAGCGTCGTGCGGCACAAGACACCGGGCGTGCTTGGCTTGGATTGACCCAACTTGCCTAGGCATTGCATGCTTGATAGCATCATGCGGGCACAAGGCACCGAGCATGCTTGGCTTGGCCCGGCTTGCCTAGGC